CCATAGTCACGTTCATCTCTGTCATTCTAATACTGACAAGTTTAAATAAGAAAAATCAATTTCCTTACAGTCAATTCTAAAGCTATTGGTACGGCGTCCAAGTCTCAGCAGGAAAAACGTCTCTTACGAGTCTCAAATGGGACGAAACCCGCTCCCTCTATTCCAGTGCTAGCCACCAATTAAAATATACTATACAGACTCCTCTTTTGATACTATGTTTATTCGAATTAGGTTATCTAACACTGTTAGTAATAAACGGTAATACACGTTATTTCTATCCCTCTATATTCTGTTTGTTTAGATGGTAAATTTTATGGTGAGCAAGCAGTTGTATACTGTTCACTCCTGAGCTAGTTCAACAAAGCACTGGTTGATTGAAATTAAAGTAAAAACTGATTATACTGGGTGACGATTAAAGGTGAAGTAAAAATATGGATGGGGACCGGATTCGAACTAGCAACCACCGGGTTTCCGTCCAAATGCTCTACTAACTAAACTACAAGGTCCAACTGCTGACCAGATTTTCATTCTAATTCATTCATGTAACGCGCCAAGAATTCACATGAAAGTGGAGAAAAACCCATGATGATTGAAGTGGAATAAAAATCTGGTCACCAGTTGGACCTCATAGCTCAGATGGTAGGGCATCGGGCGGGAAACCTGGTGGCAGCTAGTTCGAATCCGGATCCGGTCCAAATTTTCATTCCACCTTGCATCACTACCCAGTATAAATACTAGCCTGTCAAACTGCGGTTATCTCGTACAGTCAAAATGATTACAATTGATTAGTAGTTCAGTACTGAAGCTCAGTTAAAAAGGTTATTATCCTAGTTACTTGGCGACAGCTGCTTAGGATCCCGAGATGTCAAAAGTTTTGTTCGGGTTCAGTTATAAGATTTTGTAGATACTGTTAAGTCTTCCTTCCAGTGACGGTTATTACAGACAATTTAACAAACAGGGTAGTTTGTTTGAGATAATAGTTTTGGCTCAGGATACAGATCATGATTGTTTGATGTTCTCCGAGAGTGAAGTTTGTCCCCGAAGCTTAATTATCAAAACAATGTGTATTCTTGCCATCCAGTCACTTCCCAGATACTTCCTTAGTGTACTATGTCAGGCTGCTTTTAATATACTATATTATCACATACTGCTGAAGTTTATATATATATAGTTAATTACAAATCAATAATGATGATTTGAGACCCGAAGAGAAATTCGTGCAACAAGGTGTCTAACACTCTGAATCCTAATACATTCCGCCTTTCTAGCCATCAGCATTTACTTCTTATTTTTCTATTATGCCTAGTCATTGTATCTACTCCAAGGTAACTGCTCAATTCCAAGATCATTCCTTTGACCCTGTTGTATTAATTCAAGAAATACTCAAAACTATGCAGTCACCGGGTAAGAAGGAATCAAGTTGCTCACAACTTTCAACCGTCCTATAATACTAATACTATCGATGAGCATCCATCTGTACTGCAGACTTAAATTACCCAATGGATCATGTTGTCTCTTTGAAATATTTAGAAACTTCTTTCAAAACCAGCTGCTAATGAACACTGAGTTATTAATCGACTCCTAACTACTGGTAGTATTACTGTTAGTAGTATATTCGTAATTTTCTCAATTTCTTTACTTTGAGGTGCTTTACAGCATGCTAACATGTATTGATAGACTAGTACTTTAAGGCTTATATACTTATGAGAAAATTTTTATTTACGTCACCATCCGATACTTGGTGACCTAATAGCTTATTTTGAGGTTTGTGGGAATTTTATTTATTTCATAGTAAAAGTCATCATAAACTGACATCAGTTGGAGAACACTTGAAAACTTGGGAGTATTAGATAGTTTTTTCCTCCTAGTATGGGATTCCTCATCAGTTTGCATCCAAGAGCCTACCTGAGGTCAAACTAAGGACCTTCGTGCCTCGCTGAGAACGTGTTGCCATTCAGCCAGTGGGTTGGCGTCGAGTGGTTCGTAGTTTCTTAATTCTGCGAACTCGTGATATAGCGACACTATCATAGAAAGTTACCATTTGACGTCTGCTTTATGTAGTTTATCAAGTAAATGAATCTTTCAGTTTTCCAGAATAGTTGCATTATAGGGGCAGAAGTGAACAGTTTTTAATGTTATACAATCGACGCGTCTAATCCCAACTGGTATCTTAACATGGGCGATGGATATGCATTTAACAGCCTTTTTTGTATGATAAACAAGTAGATATAGAGATATTGGGTGGTAGTTGAAGGTTTAAAGGAAATCTTAGTCGTGATAGGGTCCACACCAGAGACACCTTGGTTACCAACCCTGTGTTTTAGCAATTGAGCTGCAAGATTCTGCCGCAGACCAGATACTAATCCTACGTCAATCACCAAACCTTTGGTCTAATTCTGTATGAATTAGTGATGCGTAACGGTCCGTATATCGTATTCATACTAGCTCGGTAGCCAGTACCTTTCAACCCAATTCAAATCGACTTGAATCATAGACGTGGGAGGGGGGGTTGCATCAGAATGATTATCCGTTTGATTCGTATTACTGATCTTATCACAGATAGTCGTACTGAGAACAGATGATATGCCACTATCACTTATCTAATAGCTGCATTCAATTTAAGTATTAAAAGAATTTCTCCCTCCTTATTGTTACTTTCAAATCTTCAACTTATTTTCATAGTTATTTGCTCAGCTTTTATACGACTGTATTCTATTCTTAATATAATAAAGTAGACAGTTGAGTGATTTTTCCCACCATCTTTCCAACCATTCTATTTGACATGTCTGCAAAACAAGTGAATGTGTTCAATATTTGTTTGAAATTATTATGATTATGACTACTATTATAATTGTTCAACCTCTTGTGATATAATTTGTTAACTATGTCGTTATCCAACTGGTATGATATACATAGTACAATATTTATTATCCCTTAATGTAATAGGAACAATAATAATAATAATAATAATAATAATAATAATAATAATAATAATGCTAATAATCAATAAGCATTATTTGAAAAGGCACACATATGCACATACGCCCTATAATATTGAATGCCTACATTTACATAATTTTGAACTTCAGTATCCTTCATTATTTTGATTATGATTGAATCATTCGTTGTTTAAATTATCCAGTTGAGTGGTTTTATGAATTTGATTAATCCATTTCAAGATAGAAATGACTGATTAACAAACTGGTTGATCGGTTGACTGGTTTCAAGACTGAAAATTTCTCTGAGTAAACTGTATATCATTTGACTATCTGAGATAGCCATAGTTTGACAGACTAGTATGTATATACTGAGTGATGATTGAAAGTGAAATAAAAATTTGGACCATTGCATGATTCGGAACAGCGACCACCAGGTTTCAAGCCTGATGCTCCACCAATTGAGCTAATAAAATCTGGTCAGCAGTGAGGCATCGTAGCTCAGTTGGTAGAGAATCGGGCTGGAAACCAGGTGGTCGCTGGTTCCGATCCAACCGCAGTGCAAATTTATATTTTATCTTCAATCATCAATCAGTATTAACTGTATATCTTTTCCGAATTGGAAGGAATTGTTTATTAGTTCATAAAAGTGTAGCTTACATGAAAGTAGAGAAGAGTTTGTTTTTAAATTAAGCGCCAGTGAAATCAATAAGAGTGATGATGAAATATCCTAACTGAAGTATATAAACATCCAGGACAATAAACAGTGGTCACTTTTGAGTTTCATGCCAAGAAGACCATCGCTAAGTTTTGGTTCGAAGAGGAAAATTTTGTGAAAAGAAATGGAGCATGAGATGAGATGAGTTTATTGGATAAGACGAATATTAACTGTATACTGCCTACTAGATGATGTTTCAACCACAATTTGTTGCCCACAATGGTGTAACATCTTTGATATGATTATACTTGAAATGTCATCCAGTAAACACTACTGTATCACCATACGTTATATCAAATATCTAACAAGGTGGTTTGTCGATCGTAGTGGTGAGCAGACGAATCTAGGACGGGCGTTTCGTCTTATTTGGGACTTGCCAATTGGATGTACCTGCACTCCAGTACGGAGTGAAGCTATTCTCACTGAGGCTGGAAACCCAGTACCTCTCGCTTCAAACATCAAGGTGTTATTCACTAAGCCTCTGGGGCACGATAGCTACCTCTTGTCCAACTGGTGTCAGTTAGCCCTGTATGGCGAAGGGAAATTACAAGTGTCATTGCAACAACTAACACCCACTGGACAAGAGGTAGCTATCCTGCCTCAGTGGCTTGTTGGACAACACCCTGGCGTCTGCGGAAAGTTACTAGATTCGGTCCTCAATGGGGATCAACATCACTCCATCCCGGAGTGCGGATATATCCAGCCGGTGAGTCCCAAATAGGATGAAATACGCGTCCTGGATTCCTCTGCTAGCCACCAAGATCAATATAACATCGTGAATATCTGGAAGCATCCACACAGGAACCCATTTGCCAACAGAGAGACATCAAGCAATTCGGCCCTGTGTAGCAACGGGACACTACAAGTATCATTACAATAATCAAACAAGGATTTATACTCTACCACAATGCTCTCACATAACAGGGAACACCAACCAAGTTTTATCGATTGTAAACTGTTTGAAGTTGAAAAATGTTGCTTCCTCTGAAACTGGCTAGTTATATATATATATCCACAAAATTCTAGCCAATACGCCTACCTAATCACATGAACTGATTAGCTTCCTTGAACATAAATCTCAGCTGGTTGTCCTCACTGAACCATCTATGTTTCAGACATCGAAAATAAATAATGTGCAAAATAACTGGTTTCACACCTATGAATTGTTCGCGTAAGCGTACCTCTGGATTTATCTGTCAAAAATACAACACAGAAAAGGTTAAATGCTCTCCGTAAACACTCAAGTGCTTGGATTGGTTAGCATGCCTAAATGTTTGTAGTTAAATGGAAACTACTAAATAGTAGTATGTTTTATAAAACAACATATTTCCTTCCTTTAATTTCAGAATGCTTGTCAATAACCTGTGAAGAAAATCAATGGATTTACAAATATCATTGAAAGTGTCAAATAATCATCATTTCTACAATCTTATTCCTAATGAGCATGAGACGGGTTTAAATTCTAAAAATTCAAGCGTATTTCAAGTTTTTATCAGTTCTATTAAATTTTTAATTCGCACGGTGGTCACCGACCTGCTTATTACGATCATTAAAAGCCTTGGAGAGTGTATCGTTAATCAGTATATCATTTTAAGGATAATTTTGATTACAACAGTTTCGTGGAATATCTGTTCATTGATCTCTCCATCGGTTATCTCGATTTACAATAACCGTTCGTCGTATATTACTACTACCATTACTAATAATTTCTTACTGTTCGGTTGTCTACCATCATTATGTTTATTAAAGTTATGCTGATAAAATGGTGTTATCATCATATCAATTGGAAAACAATTGTTATTATCTATTTTAAATGGATTATTTTTATGGATTTATTGATTTTACTTCATTTAAACAAAACTGAATCAAATAGTGAAATAATAATCGAATCGAATCAGAATGATGATAACTATAATGATTCGCATCATTCAAGTGAGTCTTTCAATAAAAGGAAAATTCTAGGAAAAAACATGTCATTTAAACTAATAGACAACATTGATGAGAAACTATCCATGCATATTATAAACAAAAGTATTGAACACATTCAACTATCACATAAAATTGAACGTCGAAGTCATTCAATAGATTTAAAACAACCAGAAGAAATATTATCACCTGATTATACATTACCTTATCAAGATGCAAAATGTATTGAATTTATTCAATCAACTGAGATAAAGTATGTTAAAGATCCGTCGATGTTGAGTGGATTTTTCGGTATGTCTGGACTACCTAAACGATCAGTTGAGTATAGTTTTCAAACACCAAATTATCCAGCACCTTATCCATTAAATATTGAATGCATTAAAGTTATTGCTGGTAAGTTATGCGAATAACTGCATTTTGTTTGCATTTGACACAATTGGCTAATAATTCTAGTTATTTGACAATTTCAGGTAGTTAGTGAAGGAATTTTGATATAATCTCATGGTTTAGTGAAAGATCTTGCTGCGCAAATTTGCATTAGCACACAAAATGTGGAAGGGAAGATGAAAAGGAAATGAATGGGAAAATTTGTATAAAATTTGAGATTTTTACTAAGGCTAAGAATGAAACCCCTGAATGGTTTGATCTCTGCTTGGTTTCCTCTAAGATGAAAATTTTTTTGTAAATAGTTCGACCAAAGAAGTAGGACTAGTCTACAGCACTTCCTTCTTTAAAGATAGAAAATAAAGTAGTAGAGTAGGTTAACCACTTCACTTACTCAAAGCATTGAGTCAGACACTATGAGCCAGTGACTGAAAAAATCTTAGCTTTTATACAAAAGACTGGTATGATCATTAACAACTCTAATGTCATCCTCATTCCCGGTAAGATATCTGAGTAGATATCAAAGGGTGAGAATGCTTCAAAAGCGCAAGCATACTAGCTTACTCGGTATTTCGACCATTTTGGCAACAATCATTGATTTATTTCTTTTCCTTCTGACCTGTTAGGGAGTATTTCCAGGTCCAATTTTGGCATTGACTGACTGACTGTCACTTTTCGGTTTCAATAAAATTCTTCCTGTATTCACTTCTTTTTCGTATTCCACCATGAAGTATGATAACTAGGCTTAGTGAATATGCTTCAAAGGTTTCATGTTGAACTGCCCATCTTTCTATTGATCTGGCTACAGTGACTCTGTACATCGCCTTGGTGGACAGAGCGTTTACCTAATGAAAAGTAAACCTCTTTCATAACAACCGTACTGATATGTGGTAATCTTAATGTGAAGAAATGAGCTGAAAACAAAGAAGAATTTAAGGGCATGAATGCGGCAGACATTCTTAGGAGGCAAGTGTGAAGGTCTATAAATAGAACATTTATTCCCCCCCCCAAACACACGGTTTTGTTAAAAACATCTTCAGTAAGTGAAGGTTGAGCTGTAGCATTGGGCTACATCAATTTATTTATGTGCATTAATTTACTTGAACCTAAGGGACTGAGTTCATTGGCCGTATCATGTACCTGAATATAAAAAGCTTCTGTCAGGCTAGCTGACGAAAGTAAAATGAAAATACACCTGCAGCTCTGTAAAAAACACTTAGTAAACTCAACACACAGGGGTCCTTTTGGTAAGTACATCAAAATTTTGAATAAAATCCCACCAAGCCGTTCTAAAATAGTAAGAATAGGGGGACGTGAAGAGAGCTGGAGCATTACCGATTCAACAGTCTAAACACTTACTGTGCATTCAATAGAACCTGGTATATCTTTCTTTGACAAGGACAACGTAAAGGTTTCACCATTCTAGATAACCCTACTCTGATATAACTCCATACCAATTTCTACTCCATTTTCCTTATTCTAAATCCTTACATGTACTATATAAATCTCTAGAGTTACAAAGTATGCTTTGATCTTTGTCCAGTATTTATTCTAGAATACAATATCTCTTCTAATATCTAATGTTATATACACACGTAAGACAATGAGATCGTTTAAACAAAAGATTTCATTCGCTATAATCAGCTCGCTTTTTCCTATTTCCTAAAATCAGAAATGCTAGCTTGGTTGTATTGTGTTCTCCGAGCTGGGTTGTTTAATCGTGAAGCTTTCATCGCCTTGCTAGAAGACGTCATCATCACTAACTCCAGTATGAAGTGAGCTGTGAATATCTCTCCGTAAGTGATTTAGTAGCTTGCTCTGACGATGTGGTCTGGGATTGGTTGTTTCCTTTGATTATTGTGTCACTGATTGTACAGACTTTCCTATTGGCTGTTCCTCTGCTTCACCTCTGACCTTTCTGTCGTTTATCATTTTTCTTATTGGTTGATAGATCGGGTCTATGTCTATACATTTGTTGGTTGCTGATTGACCTAAAAGCCAAGCTTCTAGAAATTCTCTGATATTCTTTGTGTTTCCTCTGTCCAAGCTTCACGATTAAACAACCCAGCTCAGAGAACACAATACAACCAAAAACATCCACCTAAGCTACAAATATTCTCCATTATTTCAGAAATACTAGCTGTTTGTGAAAAACACACTGAAAACTTTAGTGATCTCTTGATGCTCTCTGAACCCTGATATTTCATCGATGACACCTCAACAACAAGCTTGGTAACATACTCAAAAATAACGTAACGAACAAGTGAAGCATATTCAAATTTTACGAAGATGTTCAGGTGGAGCTTTCACTGATCTCGAGTGTTGTTCAACTAGCAGCTGAACAGAGATCTCTGTCACAGCTCGACATTTCTGACCTTACATTTCCTTCAACCAAGCTAGCAGAGAATCATTTGTCAGAGTGAAATTGTGCTATTTACAACCATCACACTGTGCTTCATTTTAATGATTTGTTCGGTCAGTTTGCATTTGGTTGATGTTTGATTGACTTCTTCCTAAGTAGATTACAGATTTCATGTATATCCACATGTCTGTTGACTGACTCTTCATTTGAACACCATGCTACTAGAAATTCTCTTGCAGCTTTCGAATATGCTCTCTGGAGCATTTCTACACTGCCTCTATCAAATCTTTGACCAATCGTCATACTGTCCGTAAGAAATGGTGTATACAATTACCATTCTCAAGAAACAATATACATCACAATGTAAGGTCAGAGATGTCGAATTGTGACAGAGATCTCCGTTCAGCTGCAAGTTGGACAACACTCGAGATTAGGGAAGGCTCCACCTAAACATTTGCGTGAAATTTGGATATGCTTCACTTGTTCGTGACGTTATTGTTGAGTGTGTTACCGAGCTTGTTGAGGTGTCTTCGATGAAATATCGAAGGTCAGAGAACGTCAATCATCCTCATCTGGCTTCATGAGGTACAGGTCCTTTTTTATCAACTAAATTCTGTTTTGAGATGCTGTCCGTTTGGTATAAAGATTGCAGTTGCTGTTGCTTTTGTCTGATACTATGAGTTGGTCAATCAGTATGTCTGCAATGAATTTCTCCACGTATGGCTTTATAAGGATTCAAGCAATTGCACCTAAGAATCAGAAAGTGACTGTGAGGATGATGAGCAAGCAGCCGCAGAGAATTTATTGACTTTTATGAACAAAGCAGATCAGTGAATCGCATTTGGTCAACGTGTTGTGAAGTAACTCATCCAAATATATTGTCGGAAATACCTTTAAGGTTTAGCGTTATCATGAGCTTTGCCTAGATGAATGACTGGTGACAGTGGACATTAGACCTTGATGATGGATCTCCTTCGGGCTTGTCTTCATGTGGCTGAACTAAAGAGATACCTCACTACAACTGTGTATCACTTAGATCACTAACCGCATTCCAGTGACTGCTGGAATAAAATTAATAAGTGTTAGGAGTCATCGAATCTCGTAGCAGAGGATCATCTGTCACTCAACTGTCTCATCAGCAGTCTCTGAATTAAGATGAGCTGGTAGACATACCTGCAAGTTATTGAAGACATTTTAGTTGTTTCATTTTTGACGTTACGCATACTGAATACAAATATCAGAAACCACAAAGTCTAGATATGAGGGTCACAAATGACTGTCTTCATAACAACTAGGTGATCATTTTGCATTTCTTGATCACTTTTACTAGATCAGCACCACAAATCCGAGGAAAGATGCTAGTTATCGTCCAGTGACCAGTTTTTTTTGTGTGCACAAGATATACCTGATCTTAGCACTGCATTTTAGAAGGTCCCCCTCCTCTATCAGGTTCCTTTACCAGCTTAGTCTAGATATAGTGCAGATTAAATCAATTAAACATTTAGAAGACAATAATTCGCATCTTTATCATTATTATCACAACTTGCGTGCTATTAGTGGACAGATAACTAATGCATTGACTCATCAGTAAGGCGCGCTGCAATTCAGTGAAAGGTCAAAGAGTGATATAAGCACCTCTTGAAGTAATTGACAGTCGTCTTTATTCAATATATATTTTTGTGTCAGGTAAGGGGTCATTCAGCAGCAAGTCCTGCTCTATCCAGGCTTCGCGCTTGTTGACACTTGTCAGTGGAGCGTTCCTGCGGCATTGAGGAAACTGGTGTTCCCTCGATAACTAGAACTTGTGTAACTCAGTGTTGAAATCAGAGGCTTAGTCATCAGGCCATTCAGGCTACGTGCGAACCATTGTAGGACTGGATTGTGTACGGAAATCGATGGCCTAACCAAATTACAGACTTTGATCATCGTTAGGCGCTGAGGTGACCTATTGGTGATCAACCAGTGTTCAACCAGTCTATCACAGGTGAGAATATCACCGCGATTGAATGACTGTGATATACCTAGGATCTGCACCAATGAATGTCACAGTGACTGAATGTGCTACATTTCATCAAAATCAACAAACTGTAGTCTTATTGCCAAATAAAATGTTAAAAGCTGACCACTCATGCAGTAATAAACTCCTTTTTTTAGCCTTGTCATGAAATTCTGCGCAGTACTTGCTAGCAGGCCTTGTTTTCTGAACCGCAATCATTACACAATCCTTTCAGCTTAGGCATTCAGCGAACTTTTTACCTGGGACGTTTTTATACATTGACCACTGCAACCTCAAGATGAAATAAAGCTTTATGAAAATAATGGTACCACTTCAACTGGTGTCTGGTGAGAGAAATGTAAGGTAATAAGCATATAAACACACGTGCACATGGAAACTGTCCACTAAAAAAGGAGATCCCAATGATCAACACTGGCCAGCAGTGGAATCCGGGGAGCACATTTCGTCCACTCTAGGACTCCTCAGATGGATGTACCTGCCTCCTAGTGAGTGATTTTGCTGCCACCAGGACTCTGACTCAGGAAAAATTGTTACAAATACCACAGTGTTAACCATCAGGCTACTGAGTCATGACTGCTACTCCTTATACCAGCGGGTACAGTACTGTTTCTATATTACGGCTAAGGTGAC